TGCTGGTTTCAAGGTAAAGCCCTTCATGATCTATCATTCAGAGAACCCCAGGGTTTATTAAACATGTCAGCAAGCAAACACTGCCAGTGTTTTATCGCAGTAATAAGAAAGCCTGGATGACCTTAGCACTGTTTGAGGATTGGTTCATGACTTGTTTCATTCCACGAGCCAAGGAGTATTGTCTGCAACAACGGATTCCATTCAAGATTTTGCTGATTTTGGATAATGCTCTGGGACACCCACCACACCTGGACGACATGCACCCTGATGTTAAGGTAGTCTACATTCCACCTAACACTACCTCTATCATCCAACCCATGGATCAGGTGCTATTGCTGCTTTTAAAGCGTATTTATTTATGTACAACCTTCGCTCAGGCTATTGCTGCTACTGAAGGTGAGAAAATGCTCAGAGAGTTTTGGAAGGACTACAACATTTTGCAATGTACAAAGAACATAGCTGCAGCATGGGATGAGGTTACAGGTCAGTGCATGAATGGAATATGGAAGAAGGTCCTGAAAAGATATCTGAACAGTTTCAAAGGATTTAATGAACAAAAACAATTTCTGAGATAAATAACAAGATAGAAATTGATAATGAAGATGTTGGTGGAAAGTGTAGCAGAAGAGCTAAGTAACGAGGATCTTATTGAACTGGAGACACAGAAATTTGCAGAGGAAGAAGAGAGAAAAAATTTAAAAGAAGAACCTGCAAACCCCCAAAAAGTTTTCAGTGAAACAAATGGCTACTATTAATAAGGGGATGCAAATGTTTGAAGAAATGGATCAAAATGTTGAGAGTTTTGCAAAAGTTGACAGACTGATCCAAGATGCACTTGCTTGCTACAGGGAGATTTACAATGAAAAGGAAAGGCAAACTGTGCAGTCTAAATTGGACATATTTTTTAAGAAATCCTCCACTACTGTCTCCCCACACCCCATCACTGCTGCCTCTTCACTCCCTAAAGATGATCCAATACCTTCAACAAGCAAGTATGTTAGTCTGTCAGAAGAAAGCAAACTTTATGACCCACCCAGCTCTGTCTCCTCCTTTGCTTCATCGAATTAATGCAGTCTCCATGTTTAATTAAAAAAATATTGAGGCCCCGTGTGCATTCAGCTGACTACATTAAAGGTACTGTAAGTGCACAGTAACACTTAATTAATTTTTCATTATTGATTACTTTTACTGTAGTGTATTTTATTTTAGAATTTCTATGTATTATTTTCGCCTTTTCGACTTACGACCTGGTCGTCGGGACGGAACTCCGTTGTAGGTCGGAGAGACTGTACTCTGTTTGCCTTATTTCGAACATTAACGCACTGTTTTCTAGGCCGTAGGTCCGGGCTTACAAGTACCCCTAAGTCTCTTTCACAAGTCGACTTCTCTAGGTTGATGTTGTTAATGCTGTATTCATTGACAGTATTAGTTCTTCAAACATTACGTACACTGCATTTGCTCATGTTGAATTTCATTTGCCATTTTTCTGACCACTCCTGCAGCTTATTTAAAACCTCCTGTAGTGCATTTGCATCCTGCCCTGAATTAATCTGTCGCCCAATTTTGGTGTCATCCGCAAACTTGCTTATGTCACTGCTGATCCCAGTACAGTGGGGTATGCAATAACGAATGGATTCTACTACGAATATTCCTATAACGAATGGTTTTACCTATGAAATTGAGAATGCTACAATGAACGAAACTCCTACAACGATTTTTTTTTTGTTTTTTACTAATTTATTGATTTTTTTATTACAAGTATTAATGATATTCTTTATTTCAGGGGTTTATATGCATATTTATGCACTTTTTTACAATTTTTACAATTTTATATTATATTTTTCAGTGTTAAGTGGTTGTATTTGGGGGCCTGGAACGGATTAATCCTATAACGAACGAATGTTATAACGAACAAGGTTCTAGAACCAATTAGATTCGTTATAGCATACCCCACTGTATCTAGATCGTTTAAGTAGATTATGAACAACAGTGAGCCCAGTACTGACCCCTGGGGAACCCCACTGGTTACACAGCCCTACTCAGATTTAACAGCATCTACGCTGACCCTCCGTGTTCTATCGGTGAGCCATGATATTTCCAATTTAAAACTTTCCTCTCGATACCTTGAGACTTAACTTATCTCAGAAGCCTCTGATGTGGTACTCTGTCAAACGCTTTGCTAAAGTCTAAGTAAATAACATCATAATTTTCGCCATTATCTACTACCGTGAAGAATTCCCTAAAAAACGTCAGCAGATTTGTTAGACAAGATTTTCCCTTTGTAAACCCATGTTGAGAGTCATAGATTAAATTGTTTTTCTCTAAATGAGATCAGATGCTATTTGCTATACAGGGTAATTGATTCAAGAAATTTTCCCACTACTGACGTCAAACTAATTGGCCGGTAATTTGACGCTGATGCTCCGTTTCCCTTTTTGAATATGGGTACTACATTTGCCTGTTTCCACAACTCTCGCACAACTCCCGTGTCTAATGATTTTGTAAATAAATTTACGAGGGGTCCGCTAATCTGTTCCTTGCACTCTTTCAAAACTCGAGGGAAAATTTCATCCGGCCCTGGGGATTTTGTCTTCTTTAATTTGTTTATCTTCTTAAGAACTTCCTCTTTTCTGATAGTGATATTCTTTAATTTCTCTTCTTCATTTCCTCTAAATATCTGTTCCACCTCTGGCATTTCCTAGTGAATTTCTTCTGTGAAAACTGGTAAGAAGTAGCTGTTTAATGCTTTGCTTATTTTCTCATTATCATCGATCACTTCCCCTCTCTCTGACTTTAAAGGCCCCACTTTGTCCTTGACCTTTGTCCTATATACCTGGAAAAATTCCTTGGGATTCGCCTTGGATTCTCTTGCTTTCCTGATTTCGTAGTCCCTCTTTGCCTTCCTTACATTTTTTTAGCATTCATAGATAGTTCATTATACCTATTTCTAAGATGCTCCTACCCTCCCTTTAATTTCTTTTAAATTCCTTTCTTTATTCTTATGTCATGTTTAAGTTTTTTGGTCATCCACCTTGGCTCATTCTTATTTGACCTAATTTTTCTGTATGATATATTTTGTTCCAGAGCTTTACATCATATACTAGTGAATATATTATTGTCATGATCAATTGTTGTGTCGCCTGTGACCTCACCCGTTCCTACCGGGGACTGACCTGACTCTTCCCAGGCGACTTCACCTAGGTACCTTCTTAACCCCCCATAATCTGCCGATCGAAAGTCTGGGACTCTGACCATTGACATTGTTTTTCGTTTCCTAATTTCGGTAAACCTGATTTCTCTGTGATCACTATTCCCTAGTTCTTCCCCTATTGTGATATCTCTGATCATATTTTCTTTATTTGTTAATACATGTACTAGGTCTAATATATTGTCACCTCTAGTAGGTTCTGTAATTAGTTGTTTTAAATTTTTTTCCTGTACTACGTCTAGGAAGTCTTCAGATTTATAGTCACCTATAATGTTGTCCCAGTCAATATTTCTTTAGTTGAAATCCCCCATAATGCACAGGTTGTTGTATTTTGTTGCCCTACTCAATTCCCTGCCATAAGGGCTGAGCTGCTTCTTTCCCAGGGCTTGGGGGCCTGTAAATCACTCCCATGATTTGTTTTTCTCTTCTTTCCGCAATTTTTACCCATACAGACTCGGTTCCTATTTCACCCTTTATTGAATTATTAATACAACACTTTAATGTATCCCTGACAAAGAGTACGACCCCTCCCCCTTTCCTACCTTCCTTGTCCTTGTGAAAAAGGTTGTACCCTTCTATGTGGTACTCTGATAAAAAGTTCTTGCTCGCCAGATTCATCCAAGTTTCGGTGATTGCTATGATGTCTACATTCTCAGTACATACATCCGCACTCAGAAAGTCTATTTTATTTCTAACGCTCCTACTGTTTGTATAGTATACATTTAAACCTACCCTTCCCTGGTCCTGTTTTACCCCTTGTCCTGAGTAACCAATTTTACTCCCCAGCACATGCTTGTTTTTTTGTCTCCCACTTACCCTTACCTCTCTCTACTGGCCAACCCCCCCCCCCCCTTTGGAGTGACAATTTCACGCTCAAGGGATGCAGACAAGTGTACTTCGTCACGACTGTACAGGTAGTCGTTGCCATAGAATGGTTGCCAGTTATCAATGAACGCCCAACCATTGCTTAAACAATGTTTTTCCCGTCGGCAATTTATAGCAACTGCCCTGGACAGCCATTCACTCCCAACTCCTCTTCTAGGCAAGACACCACATACTATCGGTATCCCTCCCCTATCTCTAACTTTCCTTAGCTCCTCCCTAGGGAGGGAGGGAAGGAGGGAGCAGTGTGGAAGGGAGGGAGCAGTGTGAGGGAGGGAGGGAGCAGTGTGGAAGGGAGGGAGCAGTGTGAGGGAGGGAGGGAACAGTGTGGCAGGAAACGTTTATGCAAGATGCAAGACACCACCAGCCAACAGATTATGGTAGTTAGACTCAGTTTCAGACACAAGAAAAAAATATTTAGAAAATGTTCTAGTACGTGAATGACCAGAGACAGTAACATCAGCGATTAAGTACTTTAATGACCAATTATGGGTTAACTCCCCTTTATAAGTAGTTTCATTGTCAGTGGCTTTTTTCTAGTCCCTATTAAACACTTATAATGAGGTCCCCCCTGTACAAGAGATGACAGCATGTGTAAATGTGCTGGAAGTGGAGACGGGGACTGGCTGTTGCCTTGTTAGAAAGTTTCTTATTTATTCATTACAGTACAGTACTGATACATTATAAAAAAAATGTGTAAAAATTAAATGACTAAAATCACTAAATTTGGGGCTAAATCAGCAAAAAGATCAATAAACTAATGCTGTACCACTACCCGCGCTACCCTTGGTTTTCCTCGTAAGCCACAACTATGGTCCCATTTCAACCAATTGCGTAAGCGATAACCTCGCAAGCGAGACCCACGTAAAATGAGGCTCCACAGTACTGTATTACAAAACTGACTCCATACCGAATGAGTTTGTCGGCAGCTCTGGCATCTCCTAATGCCTCATCGAAGCGGTTGTCGACAACACAGTTGAGTATGGGGTTGATCTCTTTGATGCGTGCTATAAAGGACTTCACCACTTCTTCACTTGTCAACTGTAAAATGTATAAGAAGAAAGTTAATTATATTAACTACAAAATGTGTTCAAAGTAAATCCTCTCAATACTGGCTATTCCCAATCTCAGAAGCCTTTTGTCTGGATAACTGTGTGTAAAAATGTCTTGTGTGGAGTTGTAAAACAAAGCCAAAATTCAGTTTTATAATTAATGTTGTGAATGCTTGCTGGCTACCAAAGCCAGCACCCAAGCTCACACCTCAAGGACAGAGTTGCCAGTTGTATCCTGAACAAAATATTAGAGCAGGCTTACAAGTAATGACATCAGAGAGTGCCTCTGCCTTCTCACTCCCCATCCCCTTAGGTCTGTCCTTTATGACACCTGACATACACTCCTCACTCAGCTGAATACAAGCAGTCCCTGAGTTATGAACAGGTTATGTTCCTGGTAGCTGTTCATAAATCGATCTGTTTATAAGTTAGAACAGTGTTAGTTACAATAATCTCCCTGTTAGCTGGAATTTTTGGTCCCTGGATCTCACCAATAACTGGACATTATTTTTTAGCCTTCTGCAAAATTTGGGGCATGGGAACGAGTTTCCAAGGAAGAAATCATGCACATTTCCAAGAAAATCTCTCCATTCTGGTGCATGGTCTGAGACTGCACTGTGCTGTAAATGTTTTGCACCTGCGCAGTTCGATCAAAACATCATCGAGGGAAGGAAGTGCTAAACTTACCCCAAGGAGGTAAAAAAGTTTGGCGAGTGAGGATTATTTTTGATAATTACTCACTCATTGTTGGTGTTTTATGATTAAAAGGAATACAGTATTACCCCGCTTTACGCGGTTTCACTTAACGCGATTTCTCATATACGCGGTGCCTCGCCAGAACCGAACTTTCACTTAACGCGGATTTTTTCCACATATACGCGGGAAGCGGCGCGGGCACGATGCGCACAAGGTCGCCCAGTCATCAAAACATTACCGAGTTCTTCACCCGCCACCCACCACAGCCGGCCCAAGTCAGTGATAGTGATAATTATAGTGAGGATATGGACTTATATGGACTTTGAGGGGTTTGACAAAGAGGCCCTGCAAGCCTCTGTGGTGGATAGTGATACAATTGATACAAGTGATACAGGTGAGGGCCAATAATCTGACCTCTGCCTCAGAACCAACCCCCCATCCCCTTGTGCCCAGCCATCTTTTCTACTAATGTAAGTGTTAAAAAACCTAATATTATTGATATTTCTCTTAATTATTAATTGTGTGTGCATACCATCATAAAGTTAAGATAATATTTTTACTACAACATAGTTGTGTCATCAAAAAGTGGAGTTTGGGGGTCGGGCCAGTCTCTATTGGAATTAATCCCATATGTTCTGTTGTTCACTTAACGCGGTTTTCACATAACGCGGTACCCTGTGGGTTCAATTGACCGCGTTAAGCGGGGTACAACTGTACATTAATAACACGTTAACAGTAGTTACTTGAGAATTATTGCTAGGTTTGTTAATTTTTAAGAAACACTGACAAAAACTACCTAATTTGTATCCCTAACTACGAAGATAGCACCACAAATGGGAAGATACTTTACTTTCAGTAGTACAGTCGGCCCTTAACATACGCGGGTTTATAATACACGGATTTGCAAATACGCGGATTGCCCCACCGGAGGAATATTCTGTACATTGAAGTAATTGAAGTACATTCAAATCGCACGCCATTCAACTCGCGTGCGGCACCAAACACGGGACACCGCCCGCTCCCGCAACCTCACACACACACGCATAGCTCTCCCTCACTGTCAGTCAGTCTCGCTGTAACCACGCTTGTGTTGACATCAGCATTGTAGTTGCAAAAATATTACATTTCCGTGAATGTATTATATCAAGCACAGTATGAATAGAATATCGCTAATATAAGAGTATTTTAACCGAAAACTACTAAAAAAACGAGTAACATATCTTGAACATTGGAAGGTTAGGTAAAGTCTTTTGTTTTCGTCATGTATTTTATCCTATTTTACACTGAAATACATCACGTTTCAGCAAAACTACTATTTATTTCTGAGAATATATTCATTCAGGCACAGTTTAGGTAAAATATACATGTGTTGTAACATTTTTTTAATTGAAAACGATTCGAAAAACACGTACCCTCTAGCCCTGTTCAAGGAGAAGACTGGGAGGAGCTGTTTGGTGCTTAAGACGATGACAAGGAAAATGATTTTGATGGATTTTAATGAAAATATTCAGAAAGACCCTGGCACTATCAAGGAAAGTGGCTGCTGAAGGCTTACGGGACATGGCAGAGGACGAGATTAGGGAGCTAATTGAAGAGCACGACACTGAGCTGACCGAGGAGGATCTACAGGAGTTAGTAGACTCAGGCAAGGAAGAGGAAGCGAAAGGGAAAGAGGATGAGGAAGAGGAAGAGCACCAAGAAATAACGTTGGAGAAGTTGGGGGAGATGACCAGGAATATTGAGGCACTGAAAAATCTGGCCTATAGTATGGACCCCTCCATGGTGCGTGCCCTGAAATTCATGCGAGGGATGGATGACGTTTTTGCTCCATACAAAAACATCATGGAAGAAATGAAAAGAAAGAGACGACAACTCCCCATCACCATGTTCTTTGATCACAGAAGGAGAGATTTAACACCATCAATCACTGGCGGCAGTGAGGAAGCAGCTGAATCCACCGTCGCCCCCACTTCACCACCCATTATGGAACTGAGTGACGATGAGCCCGATGACCTCCGTCCTGTCGCCGAGGATAGGTACTGTACAGTAAAATGAAATTTTTATCTCTTTTTTTTAATAGCTTTTCTTGCCATGTTTGTTGTTTGTAAAAATTGCACAGCACAGTACAGTTCAGTACTGTACATAGGAAGTTGGAGGTGCAGTTATTCACAAAACATTTGTGTTCGTTGTCGGCAGTAGTGACGGGGAGGAGGCAGAGGGGGTGGAGAAGGCAGAGGAGGTGGAGGAGGGAGTGGAGGGAGCGAGTTGGGAGGAGTGGTGACCTTGGACGCGGGAGCAGGGACGAGTGGAAATGCCAGCCAGTACATTACGGGTGTATTAATTGTTTATATAGCTATTTTTGCATTTTAATATTAAATATTGTACATTACGTTTCAACAAAACTACCAATTATTTCTGAGAACATGGAAATGTAATATTTTTGCTGAAATGATGTACGTATTACAGTGGAAAGTGGGATAAAATTGTGACGAAAGCAATGACTTTCTCTTTCTTTCGTTCAAAAGATGTTATCGTAATCGCTTTTCAAATGGTTTTCAGTTGTGGGATTATAAGGCTAATGATGGGATAGAATATTATTGTAATACAGTACGAGTACAACAGTTTTTTAACTGAAAACCATTCGAAAAGCGATTACGGTAAAATCTTTTGAATAACGAAAAAAGCGAAAGTCATTGTTTTCGTCTTTCCACTGTAATATGTACGTCATTCCAGCAAAAATATTATATTTCCATATTTATTTCTGAGAATACCTATATTCATTCAGTCACAGTTAAGGTAAAATATACTTGTGATGTAACATTTTAATGAAAATACCAGGCATTTAGAAATACGGTATCGTAGTTTTGTTTTGTTTCAAATATAATTAACAAAGATTGATGTTTCAAATGTAATGAACAAAAATTTATGTACAGTATCTATAAATAAACTTTAAAAAATGAATACTTTATGTTTTACATCGTCCTGTGCTACCATACCATGGATTTGGCTACTTTGGGCTTGCTATGATGACGCAAGAGATCTGGCCTGGGCAACTGTACCGACACTCTCAGCTGGTGGTGCGTTGGTGCATCGTTTCCATTGTTTACTGGTAGTTACTGGTATACATTTTTCAACCTAACGACACTATTACCCGTTTAAAGGTCGGCCCCCAATTTTTTGCCAAATAATTTGGTCTTAAAAACTCGAACTACACACAGGTATATACGGTAAATAAGGACATGGGGGGGCCAGTTTTTTTTTTGGGGGGAGGGGGCAGCAAAAATACGCGGATATTTAACATTCACGGGTATCTCTGTTACGTAACCCCCGCGTATGTTAAGGGCCGACTGTAAATGAAATTGATAATATTATTGTCTTTTTGGCCATCCAGTGAATTTAATGACTCTAAGTTGACCGATTTTTACCAGTTAAGTTAGGTTACGTTAGATTAGTTAAGTTGGGTTAGGTTAGGTTTGGTTACATTGAAATTATGTTTTTTCAATTGCCAAGTTGGTGGATGATCTAAACAATATTTTTACCCAATTGATTATGAGTAGATCAAAATCATTAGTTTTGTTTTTTTTTTACAAATTCATACTCCGTAAAGTTCAAATGACAATCACTTCATGATAGATGTTTCACCCTATACACTAAAGCTACTTTATGTAAGAAGAAAAAATTAGCACCAAAATGTATTGTTTAATACCAAAAGAAGTCATTGATGATAATATTTAATAACAATAGTTCAGGTATTACATACAGTCTCTCCTCGACTTACGACCTGGTCATCGGGACGGAACCCCGTCGTAAGTCGAGGAGAGACTGTACGTACTACAATTTCATCTTTAAACTCCTTGTATCTTACCTAACCCACCTTGCTGCTCCACTCAATTATAGCTAGATGTAATATTTGTAGAAAGTAATCACAGGTATGACTCCCTTTACCTTTAATTGGTTTATTATTACAATTCTTGGATATTCAAAGATAATGAAATTATGAATCTTCAATAAATGTGATATACATTCTTATGATTACAACAGAAATATGTCAACTTGACTAATTAACTGTAATCAGAAATTAACTTAAGTGAATTTGTCATTAATCCAACCTTTAAAATATGAGACAGTATACTTTATTTTATGATAATTAAGTCAGTTTCCAATTAGGTTAAGTTAGGTAGGTTAGGTTAACATTTTGATGTAGATCATTAACATTTTTAAGGTGCTTATAATTTTTGTTCTATGAATTTCTCCCCCCCCCCCTCCAAAAAGGGTTCAAAGTTTTGGAATCAC